TTATGTCACTCATTATAAAAATATGAACATATTTAGGTACAGTGTTGCCTTCCGTACTCCCGGTTGATGTAAACCTGACTTTTTAATCATGACGTAGACCAGATGACGCAAGAAAACGAAATAGCTTGCAACTGAAGCCCGCCCCAATACAAGCAACTTCCAAGGTTATGCAAAGTGTTTGATAAAACGGCTTATAAACTGACGAAGATCCAATATTCTGTGGAAAGCTTATATTTTTCCCCGTAGACTGGTGCATATCCCAAAGAAATTGGTACAGAAATAAAATATTTACGGCTATTTTCTTTTCCGAATCGAGCAACATTTGTCTTGGAAATGATGCCGAAAATGACGTCAGTGTCACGTGGTATGGCCACACTGGAACAGACCTTCATATATTTCGAGCCGGTTTAAATTGGTCAGATTGCACACATAAGCTGACTGGCAAAATATAACTTTGTTTACACTGTCAACTTATGATCCAATTAAACTCAAATTGTTATCAATTAACAGTGGATTTTACTTCTAACTATGGATGGAAACAAGTACTGATTTCAGTACTGTGAATACAAGGGAGGTAAATGTACCTTGACAATTAAGAAAACAATGTTGATTTCTGAGTCCATTTAATTACTTTAATCTTACATTATTGAAACAACTTTGCCTTATATATATCAAGTAGACTATTCTCCCCACAGATCATGGAACTGGACAGTGTGCTAAAAAAATAAATAAATAAACTAACCTTATATGTGTCCTTGTTTGACTGTTAACACTATAGTATATGTCAAATATTTGACTCTTTAACATGATGAGAATCATATAAATCTATATGTAATAATTTATGTTGGGTTTTACATTGCACCAATGCTGTAAAGGTTACATGGCGACTTTCCAACTTTTCTGGTTTAGACAGATATCAGGTGCCACTCAGTGTATTATCTAAGGCACAAAAGGGAACCTGAGTAGAACCACGGTACCAAGGGTCCATAAGCTATATGGATAGCTTCCTCACATGAAAAAATTCAAAGGTTGTGATGGGATTCAAACCCATAGCAAGAGGGGCCAGTAGTATGTAGTCAACATCCTTAACCACTCAGCCACAGATGCCCCTTTAATTAGGGCAAAATAAAAATTTGTGTTTGACCTCATTTTTCAAAATGGCCCACATTAATTTTGCAGTCAATGCTGTTTCACCTTCTCTATTTATGTATGGGCTGAATAGTACTTACTGCAATAGGTCCATCTACTGTAATAACATGAAATCATTTTTTCTACAAACACTAACACTTGTTTCTGACACACACAATTTTAACTAATTTGTATTTTAAATGAACTTTGATCGCAAAGTGTGACCTTAATATGGCCGCAGGGACCAATTTTGGGCACAACACTAAGCCATATAATGGTTAACATTTATGCCAAGTTATATTGAATCCCTAATGCATGTATAAGTTTTGCTCCAGACAAGCATTTTTCAATGACCTCTAAGTGTGACCATGACTTTTGACGTAGAGACCTGGTTCATGTGTGCAAAATAGGTGCTCATAGTGGTTAACATTTCAATGAAGTTTCATTAAAGTCTCTCTCTTTGTGAAAGAGATATGCTCCAGACAAAATTGGATGACACCCGCACTCCATCTCCCTGCCCGCCAGGCATTCCTATATTATAAGTATGTCCCATTTTTTAAATGGGCGCATAAAATTCAGTCATAGTGTCTGGTTAAACAGCAAGAAAGAGAAGATTGAGCGTGACTTACCACTTGTCTGATGTACCAGTTGTTTTCCCTGCTCTCCAATCTCCTATTTCCATGTGTCCTGTGAGTAAATATGGACATCTTCGGCTACGTAATATCTGTAACAAATACACATTTAAGATTAAATCACTTCAGACATTTCTACTGTCAAATGGTACCATCATTTTTGTTTCTTGTAGTGTAAAAAGTTTCAAAATATTATTCAATTATTATTTATTTACAACTTGTTGGTAATTACGGAGCATTTATGCATTTTCTTCTGAACATACAAAGAAACAAACATATAGTCATAAAACACCAATGGCCTATAAATCTGCTTGTAAGAAAGATGCTTTAAACAATTTCCTGAAATGGTACATTGTTATAAAATGTAGCCCTACTCTGTTTATAAAGTTTAAAACATGATAAAAATGTGGTTATAAACATAGCAAATTCAGTCATATTATGTTAATTCATACACACCTTGTGAAGATTCATACATTTTTAAATTTCTTTATTCATTTTTAATCCTTTTAAACTTTGTTATCTCACCATAAAGTTTATAAACTTTATTGTGTCAATTTGAAGTCAACTGCTATAAGATACAGTTTTGTGACACTGGTATATATTAAAGTATCATACAAGTAATTGAACATGGACTTTCAATTTATTATCACAATTTATTTTAACACAATACAAACAGAAATTACCAAATACCTATTAAGACACATCCAAGGTAACAAAATGGGGGTAAAAATGGTGCCTGGCTTGATCTGACTGTAAACTCTGAAGAAACTTCCTGGTTGCCAGATGACACAAGTCTTACCTAGTTAAGAAAAATAATCCAAATCATTTCCATGCCAAATGAAGTGTAACCCTTTTCCTGATAGTTTGTCACAGGGACTTGCCCTCCTTGGAAATTGGAACTATCTAGCATACTATAAACACTTTTCCTGTCATGCAGTTATTTTTCTGTTATTTGACTGTAAGATTTTTATGTGGAACTTTTTCATTCCACTGTTTCATTTCTGTACATATACCTAAAATGATCTACAGGTAACCTTACGTTCATGTTAAATTAAATTACAAATGTAAAATTTATATGTTCAATTATTTATATGGTATATAATGAAAAAATCATCAAAGGGCCATATTTCTGTTTTTGGTCGTAGCAAAAAACTTCTTTCTTTACTACCATCTACACATTAAAGCGGTTCATCCCTGGAAGTTAAAGCAAAATCTGCCTTCCAATTTAAGAGGAGTTCCGTTCACAAAATTTCTATATGGTATATAGTGAAAAAATTAACAAAGGGCCATAATTATGTTAAATTTGGTCGCATCATAAATTCCTTCCTTTACTTCCATCTACACATTAAGGTTGTTCATCCCTGGAAGTTTAAGCAAAATCTGCCATCCGGTTTAAGAGGAGTTGCATTCACAAAATTTTTACATAGTATATAGTGAAAAAATCAACAAAGGGCCATAATTCTGTTAAATTTGGTCGCAGCAAAAAATTCCTTCCTTTACTATCATCCCTGGAAGTTAAAGCAATCTGCCATCCGGTTTAAGATGAGTTGCATTCACAAGCTTTTGGGACGTAGGGACATACTCACAAAATGGTACTTTTGTGACTTTTCCTTTGATCTTTTTGGCCATTTTTAGTCACACAAGGCTTAAAAAAAGACACACAAGTAAAAACGGAATAAATAGGATCAAAGAGAATTTACTGTTGTCCATTGTTTTCCAAGTCACACAAGTACCTCTGGGTTCGTACGGACAGACGGACAAGTGCAACGCTATATGCTCCCCACTTTGTGGGGGCATAAAAAAAACACCAAACAATTGTTTTATAAAAGACCAATACACTGATAAACACCTTCAGAACTAGCAGACGACAGGCTATTCTTATCAGTAGTATTTCGAGTAAAGATAATGGGTTATATCTCACTGTATAAATGGTATGTAAAATGGTCTGACATATGGTAGGTTTAACAGTTTATTTAGATACTTTGGAGTCAAAAGATATGTTGAAGTTTATACTGTGATGAAGCTAAGATCCAAAGCTTTCTGATGGTGTAATACATTTTAAAATCGGATATTTAATTACAACAAACTAGCGGTTTAAAAACGGCTTATTTTGTATTGTTTTAGCATAAGCAGTATCGATTTTACTCGAAGATAAGGGAAGCAACTCCTATTTTTCACTCGATATACCTCGGTTATTTACGTAGATCATATTGAAAGTGTTTATGGGTGTATTAAATCATGAAAAGATTTAAAGTTCATTTTTCTTACAGAGACAGTCACGTACGTTTCATTTTTTACTATTGTGCGATAAATATTTTGTCAAATTATGACATTTAATCACTTTTTTGTTTTGACTTAACTAACATGGAACATGTTTAACGGAACAGATGCTTTGAATAAAATATATAGCACATAATAAGATGTACATGCTGCGTGGAAAGCTTTTTTACCTATTCTGTAAGTCGTATTGAGAATGCATGTTTAAAATAGGAATCTGTGCCTACTAGAGCTAACTTATTATTCAACCACGATGATACATACAAAAATACAAATATTTACGTATCACTTTACTCACCGAGCTAACTTCTGCCTCAGTGTGAACTTCTTTTGGGCATCCAACCCCTACAATGTACCTCTTGGTGCAGCTACAGACTTTGACTTACTCTGTAACAAACAAAGTTATATATTAGATACCAATAAAACTACAATCAACTTTATATTTCAAGAAATATCTAATTGAACAGGTAACATTGTAAGTCTTTGGTTGATTTTCAATTGAAAAAGTTTTATATATGAAGACTTTCTAGCATTAATGTTGGAGGAAGACCTCAGGTGCTCCTATTTGCTTTATTTCATGCACAGTGAGGTAGACACCCTCAGACAACCTTCTTGCAGAACAAGGCATCCTAAGACAACTTTATCATGTTAGCTAGATAACTTTCTTACATGAAGACTTTTACAAGTTATTGCTAAACTTGAAACCACAGTGGTGAGTAGACAAGAATTCTCATCAAGTGACTTTAAACATTTTGCCTAGCCAGTGTTTAAGTTTAGGCACCACAGTGAAATAGCTGACCATAAAATTATTTATTTATGTATAAATCATAATTTAAAAAATAAAAAACATTTTCTCAAAACTTTACATACCGGTAGCTATTTTGCTGCTGCTTTATTCTCTTCTCTCATTCTGTGAATCACTTCTTGTTGTTCTTGTAACTTCATCATGAGGCCTCTCTGTCGTTTCTTGATCTGAGGGTATGAATCATCTGCACCTTTGTTTCGGATTCGCTGTCTCTGCTGCTCTAACCATTGTAACATCGCTTTTGTCTTCTCCATTAAGGCATTTTCACTCAGTGTCAATGATTGCTGAAGAATACATAGAGTTTAGAAACTTTAAAAGAACTTTAACAAAGCAACATTTTTGGTCTGGTCTTATTGCAGTAAAATTACAAGCAAATTCGTTAAATTCATATCCCCCGACTAGTACTGGTTATTACTAACACAACAACTGAATACATACCAGGTAAGGCTTTATTTATATAAGTTTATCATGACATGCAAATTTCCTTTTTGTATTGATGATTCCCATAAAGTCTGGTTGAAATCAAATCAGTAGTTGAAAAGAAATAGCAATATTGCTTTATATGAATATTGCAAAACAAATCAAGGGCAATAACTATGTCTTGAAGGCTCTGACCGGAACAAAGCAATGATATGCGCATCTCCCCTTGATATTGATTGTTCCAATAAAGATTCATTTAATTCCAGCCAGTAATTGCAGAGAAATAGGAAGGAAATGATTATTGCTCTATATGCATACTGCATAACTAATCAAGGGCCATAACTCTGTGTTGAAGGGTCTGATTAAAACAAGGCAACATTATGCGCATCTCCTCTTGGTATTGATGGTTCTCAAAAAGTTTTGTTGATTCCAGCCAGTAGTTGCAGAGAAATAGCGCGACAAGGATTATTGCTATATATGCATACTGCAAACTTATCAAGGGCCATAACTCTAAGTTAAAGGGTCTGACCGGAACAAGGCCATGATATGCTCATCTGTTCTTGATATTGAAGGTTCCCATAAAGTTTCGTTGAAATCCAGCAAGTAGTTGCAGAGAAGTAGCACGGAAACGATTATTGATCTATATGCAAATTGCATTTATAACTAATCAAGGGCGACAATATGCCCATCTCCTCTCTTGGTATTGATGGTTCTCATAAAGTTTTGTTGAATTCATGCCGTTAGTTGCAGAGAAATTGCGTGAAAAGGATTATTGCTCTATGTGCAATAATACTGCATAACTAATCAAGGGCCAAAGCTATAAGTTAAAGGGTCTGACTGGAACAAGCCCATGTCGGACGATAAGCGCTGTTACAAGGCGATGTTATGCTCATTTCCTCTTGGTATTGAAGGTCCCCATAAAGTTTTGTTGAATGCCAGCCATTAGCTGCAGAGAAGTAGCGAGGAAATGATTATAATGCTCTATACGCATTCTGCATAACTTATCAAGGGCCATAATTTCGAGTTAAAGGGTCTGACCAGAACAAGCCGATGACCAGGGATTCTTCACTTGATATTGATGGTTTCCATAAAGCTTCCTTGAATTCCAGCCAGTAGTTGCAGAGAACTTTCAACTAGTAACATGGAAACAAAATTCAGACGGACAGATGGCGGGTCGGACAAAGTGGCAACTATATGCTTACCCTTGGAGGACTGCATAAACAGAGAAAAAAGACTGATTAATTACAATCTTAACTTCCCGGGCTTCAGGCAAGTGGGTTATTTGACTTATTTCGATGACTGCTGGTAGTTCTAATCATAATTGTGTGATGTAATTACATTTCTAAGTCTGATTAACATCTAATTAACTGTGAAAAATAAGCATTACAATTTCTTTAACAGTTTAACTCCATTAAATTCTTTAACAACTACCTCTACACTGGGACATAAGATAAGCTTTATGTCCCAGCTCTACATCATAGACATACTGCAGTGCTTCAAAATCATTTTACAATTACACTCAAGCAGGCATATGCTTTTCTCTTCTCGATTTGTGACTCTTATTTTGAAATATTGCATATTTGCAATAAATATCAAACATACTACAATTAAGACTCCAGAGACAGCTATGAGATTATGCACGGATTTATGTTACAGGGATCGGACACTCCCAGTTAACCCTATATAAATGCTTAAATATCTTGTCGTGCACCCCATAATGGTACATCGATCGATAATTTACCGGCGCTAAGCGTAAATGCCCGTTCGCAAGGGATACCTACTTTACAAAATACCATATAGCTTTTCCATTTATTATCCGATTTTGGAAATTTAAAGTTTATTTTGAACAAAAATACTTGTTTAATTCAAATATTTAATTTATATTTTAAAGGTACAGTTTATCTGTCCGCAACGACGATTAAAAAATTAACTTGACGAAATCCGCGGTAAATTTACATTTTTTATATAAAAAGCATGTATTTGAAGTTTATTATTATGGTAACATAATAAATTCAATTTCAAAAATAAAAAAGAAGCCGTTGTTAGTTATTCCACAGATGATCAAAGATGCAATATTTAAGATTTATTGGGTTATGTAGTCAAATTTATTAACGCACAATTGTTTTACGGGTAATGTATTGCGGGCGCTTTACAATGTCACTCATATATTTTAATTATTCTTTTTATTTGAATGCCTGTAGAAAGATATTTATGATATTTTTTAATGTAACGCTAGAACAACAATAAAGTATTTACAGTTTGAGTCAGTATTATGCGAAATAAAAGTAACTTTTGATTATTTTTTACACATCGCTTAAATTTCTTTGAAGTTTAATTACTTTTGAAGGGGGTTAATTAACAGGTAACAAGTGATAATTGAAAAACTTTATTTTTCAAACTTTCATTACCAGGTTACATGTGATAATTGCAACACTCAATCGTCAAAAACTAATAGAATTTGAATGTATATTTTGTATACGTGCGGTCTTTAACTTCAATCCATGGTATGTGTGATAAGAAAATGATTCTGAAGAGGATATATATAAATACAATGTAAATATATTTCCTTTATTAACATTTATAAATGAAATTGAATATATTGAATATATACAAGTAAATTTGTATAGTCCTTTCGTTTTGAAAAATAATGAAAATAAACGTATGACAAATAAATCATTTGACGTGAATTGTGAAGGATAACTATGAAAAAAAATTTGTTTAAACATAAAAAAATACTATTATAAAACAGCTGTTCTGTATGCCAATAAAAGTTTCTTCCTTGCCAAATATAATGAATTCATCTATGTATGAACACTTTTTTTCAATGATCTGAAAATATATTTAATACACTTATTAGTAGAATACTATATTTATACTAATATTCAGGTAATCAAATAAAAAATGTTCAAATCATTTTGAAATAATTCACAGAAAAAAGACAAATTTCAAACGTGAATTTCTTTAAAAGTTTTTAAACAATCAAGAAACATTTTTTTGCATTGCAACCATTAAACCATGTAGAAAATAATTATCTTAATCTGAATCGCGGTAATAATTTGTGCTTGAAGTAAAAGGGCGTCAAAGTGTAGAAAGTATGCCTTAACAATGGGCGAATATTTTCTAAATTAGGTACTTTTTTAACTCAGCGTTGCAGCGTTCTATCGGCATATTTTCATATATTAATACTTTAGCGACACAAAATAATACTGTATCAATACATTAATATGTGTAAAATTTTTTCACAAAGCTGTAATAACACCACAAACTCTTGTGAAAATCTGTCATATTTCGCACTCCGCGCGTTCCGCCATCACTCATTCTGTCCACCTTTATCCGATGTGCGATTCCGCGCATGCGCGCGACGAGACTTTTAAGCTAAAACGAAAGTGTCCGATCCTTGTAATATAGGTCAGGGTATCGCATTGTAACACGGCCAGCGATTGGCTGAAAAAAGTGCAGGAAAAACCGTATGATTCAGTTTATACATGAGGCGATTGGATGAAACTGGGGTATTTTTAAGTATAAAAACTAATTTTAAAAGTAACACTACAATGTTTTCTGAAGAAAATGAAATATTTCATGAGTCTCTGTGATAATTTTGACTTGGTTATTTGCATTATAAAAAGTGTATGTCAGTCCTGTGATCAGCAGAAAATTTCAATGAAATGGGGGGGGGGGGGGGGGGGGTAATCCTCTTTGAAGTCATTTTGCAAAAAAAATTGGTTGGCTACCCCTATATAACAGGAACATTTTTATGTGTCAGGCATTTCATTCTGCTCTATATGCATACTGCATAACTAATCAAGGGCCATAACTCTGTGTTGAAGGGTCTGATTAAAACAAGGCAACATTATGCGCATCTCCTCTTGGTATTGATGGTTCTCAAAAAGTTTTGTTGATTCCAGCCAGTAGTTGCAGAGAAATAGCGCGACAAGGATTATTGCTATATATGCATACTGCAAACTTATCAAGGGCCATAACTCTAAGTTAAAGGGTCTGACAGGAACAAGGCCATGATATGCTCATCTGTTATTGATATTGAAGGTTCCCATAAAGGTTCGTTGAAATCCAGCAAGTAGTTGCAGAGAAGTAGCACGGAAACGATTATTGATCTATATGCAAATTGCATTTATAACTAATCAAGGGCGACAATATGCCCATCTCCTCTTGGTATTGATGGTTCTCATAAAGTTTTGTTGAATTCATGCCGTTAGTTGCAGAGAAATTGCGTGAAAAGTATTATTGCTCTATATGCAATAAAACTGCATAACTAATCAAGGGCCAAAGCTATAAGTTAAAGGGTCTGACTGGAACAAGCCCACGTCGGACGATAAGCGCTGTTACAGGGCGATGGTATGCTCATTTCCTCTTGGTATTGAAGGTTCCCATAAAGTTTTGTTGAATGCCAGCCATTAGCTGCAGAGAAGTAGCGAGGAAATGATAATAATGCTCTATACGCATACTGCATAACTTATCAAGGGCCATAATTTCGAGTTAAAGGGTCTGACCAGAACAAGCCGATGACCAGGGATTCTTCACTTGATATTGATGGTTTCCATAAAGCTTCCTTGAATTCCAGCCAGTAGTTGCAGAGAACTTTCAACTAACATGGAAACAAAATTCAGACGGACAGATGGCGGGTCGGACAAAGTGGCAACGATATGCTTACCCTTGGAGGACTGCATAAACAGAGAAAAAAGACTGATTAATTACAATCTTAACTTCCCGGGCTTCAGGCAAGTGGGTTATTTGACTTATTTCGATGACTGCTGGTAGTTCTAATCATAATTGTGTGATGTAATTACATTTCTAAGTCTGATTAACATCTTAGTAACTGTGAAAAATAAGCATTACAATTTCTTTAACAGTTTAACTTCATTAAATTCTTTAACAACTACCTCTACACTGGGACATAAGATAAGCTTTATGTCCCAGCTCTACATCATAGACATACTGCAGTGCTTCAAAATCATTTTACAATTACACTCAAGCAGGCATATGCTTTTCTCTTCTCGATTTGTGACTCTTATTTTGAAATATTGCATATTTGCAATAAATATCAAACATACTACAATTAAGACTCCAGAGACAGCTATGAGATTATGCACGGATTTATGTTACAGGGATCGGACACTCCCAGTTAACCCTATATAAATGCTTAAATATCTTGTCGTGCACCCCATAATGGTACATCGATCGATAATTTACCGGCGCTAAGCGTAAATGCCCGTTCGCAAGGGATACCTACTTTACAAAATACCATATAGCTTTTCCATTTATTATCCGATTTTGGAAATTTAAAGTTTATTTTGAACAAAAATACTTGTTTAATTCAAATATTTAATTTATATTTTAAAGGTACAGTTTATCTGTCCGCAACGACGATTAAAAAATTAACTTGACGAAATCCGCGGTAAATTTACATTTTTTATATAAAAAGCATGTATTTGAAGTTTATTATTATGGTAACATAATAAATTCAATTTCAAAATAAAAAAGAAGCCGTTGTTAGTTATTCACAGATGATCAAAGATGCAATATTTAAGATTTATTGGGTTATGTAGTCAAATTTATTAACGCACAATTGTTTTACGGGTAATGTATTGCGGGCGCTTTACAATGTCACTCATATATTTTAATTAT